CTTACCTCGGTTAAAGTTCCCGATCCAACAATAAGAAAGAGACTGGGCAAAAATGGCATCTATGGGAGAGTTCAAGGAGAAAACCGCTGCTGACTAAAAGGAACACAAAGGCTCGTATCACATTCGCCAAAAAAAAAAAAAAACATCTTGATGATACCCAGGACTTTTGGAAAAATATAACGTGCACTGACATGAGAATTATTTGGGAGTGTTACATCCCTTAACATCTGGCATAAAACTTACACAACATTCCAAAAAAGAACATCATGCCAAAAGTCAAACATGGTGGTTCTAGTGTGATGGTCTGGGGCTGCTTTGCTGTGTCAGGACCTGGACAACTTGCTGTAATTGCTGGAGTTTGGGCCCTGATGCTCAGGCACACTTGGGTTATGGAACAGGACAGCAGGTCCACCTTAATTGGAGATTATGTATTGGAATTTCAGGAGCGGGACCACACGCTCCTTCCGGTTGTCAGGTTCCCGCAGTACTGCAAGCTGATCATTCTAGTTTACGTGCCCCACCCTCCCTCCCTCCTTATTCTCAATTCTTTAACTTCTTTATTTCTATTTAGTACATGGGGATCTGCCCGGCCCGGGAGCCGTCACCAGTCCCCTCTGAGGCCTTCCCCAAACCACAGCTCAATTCATGTCCAAGCATTCACCTTTACTTACTAAAACGCTGTCAAACCTAAAATGAGGACGTGGGCCCAGCTAGTGAAATGGCTCATAAAGCACAAAATGAAGGTTGTAAACACAAGGTTTGTGTGCCGGTTTCTGTGAAAGAAACGATTAAGGAGAATAAAAGCAAAAATGATTTGAGCTCTTTTTGCCATTGTTTTATGACAGATAATTATGTTTCTTTTAGACACAATATTATACCTACTGCCTCAAAAGACAATAATAAATCATTAAAATCGGGAACCTCACAGGCAGGATAATTAGTAGCTTTGTTTACAGTACATCGAGTGCAAACACTGTAGAGAGGAGGGAAATAAGTCGTGTGCACAGTGCACATTACATCTCTTTGCGCTTAATTAGAAATGAGATTACAGGAGACAGAGAATAAATACCATAGGGGGATTTGCTCCCATGGATGTGCAGGGAGAAACATTTACCTATAGATTAAACTCCATCATCCATTTCATGTGAAACTTTTAAAACACATCTAGTGACTGGAACAGCTCTACGTCATCCATTCCTTCATTAAAAGTGCAGGAGACTACATCACAAAGTCACTAGAAAAAGAGTAAAAGACATTTCAAGTATGAAGTTTATTTTGTGTTCTCTTAACAAATCTTTTTTTTATAATGATGGTTAATTATGTAATCAGCCTATAAAACACTAAATCCCAGAGTTCAAATATTCCACTATATATCCTGAAACATCCAGCTATTATAATGCATAAGGCAGAGGAAGTGCAGTTTGATTTTGAATGTTTTTCTTTTTTAATTGAAATCGTTTGAGGTCTGTAGAGGATCACAAGAAAATATCATGTGTCAAGTGTGAGCAGTATAATACACGGGCAGTTATGATGATCTTCAGGAAGCGACACAGCAACTGACACCTTGCTGATATTCAGAAACAGTACAATCTCAGGTTGAAGGTTCTTCATATAGCAGCTCTACCAGCACCACTTATCAGTTAATATATTCAGAATCTCTGATTTGTTCATCTGTTTAATGAATTATTTACCTCCACCTATAGAAAGCCCAAATGTATTAACATTTTCCTGCGCTGTGGTTTACCGGCTCACACATTACCACAGTGTTCCTTCTTTGTATGAACATTATTACCATTAATATTGAGCAGATATTGTATTGAACTTATAGTTTCCCATCCTTCATGAATTGTCACCAATCTAAAGCTGTATGTTGCAGATGCTCCCCTCCTGGCTTTTGTTGTAGAATTTTGGCCAGGTATTGAAGAGGGGATTTCCCTGCTGCTCAAACACAACACTCCTTCGATTTCCTCAATCTTTCTTTTAAGGGTCATTTTGTATTTGTTGACGTCATGGTGAAAGAATCAATTCAAATCACATTTTAGGATGAAAGAAATAAGTTTGAGATTCTGATTTCCTTCATTACACCTGCAGCCACAGTGCAACAGTTTTAGTACTGCAGAATTTAAGATTTGGTCTTTAGGTGAAATTGATGTGGGGTTGATGTGGTGATTTTCTCTTGTCTTATTTCTTTAACACTTTAAAGGTATAGTCAGTCGTTTTTTGAGCTTTAAGGTTCTAAGGGTATTGTTATAAATGTACACCGATTACTGTAATTACATCTTCTAACAAATCGATGGGTTCTCATAAGATGTTTGTGTGAATGCATGCAAATTTCAGTGATAGTGAGGCACTGTTATAACATTACAGCTGGGATTCATTTGGTGGTGTGACTACGGTATAACTCAACAAACTGCACAAGCCAATTCATTTTTAGTTATATAGTTTTATTTATATAGCACCAAATTAATTAATTTATTGATTGATTGATATATTAATTAAATTATTTTTATAGTGCCTAATTACACCAACTGTTGTGTCAAGGCATACTAAAAAACGTATTCCCCAGGCACGGGATCTCTTTCACACTTAATGCACGTTGCAGATAACAGAATGAGTAAAAATGTGGAGCTTCCAACTGATTTTAAACCAAAACCCAGGTGAGAAGAGCCTCATATCTGAATCTTTTTACTTTAAGTTTAGCCTCACTAAACCATTAATCGAACTTCACAGTAAACACCCCATCAGGACTCCATTACATCATATTTTATAGGCATGCTTGTATCACCTCTCTGCTGTTAGGTGCAAGCAAAAATGACCCTGTTTAAGGCTCTGATATCTTTTTCATCTCACTTAAGACAGTTATGTCATGGCAGGATTTTGTCACTTAATAAAGGAATATTTATTCCTCAGTCTAATCAGGATCATCAATTGATCACAGATTGTGAATTTCTTTTACCCATATATAAGTATATATATAGGTAAAATATAAAGCGATATGGAAATGAAAATAAATGAACCTTGATTTGTTTTAATTCTTTTTTGTGCTAACTGTCACACCTATTTTATGTTTAAATTACAGAAGGCGATCCAAAGTCTTTTATAAACAGGCGTACAATATTTACATTGGTATTGGCTCAATACCAAAATTTGCAATACTGCAGAGAACTATTGGCCATACTGTACTATTTACATTTCATTACCAAAGTGAGATGAAACCAGATGACAGTTGTTTACATTAGTGTTGGCTAAGAAGACGCAGCCTAAGGGTCTTGTTTTTACAAGCCAGTGGTCTCTTAGCATCAAATACATCACATGGCAATGAAAGATCTTTGTAAAAGATGAGATAAAATCAAGACTGCCTTCATTTCCTGAGCTTGGTAACCTGAGCAGTGTGTCCTATAGGCTAGACCAGCTAATTTCACAATGTGACTTCCAGCCTTCACAGTTATCGAAGGATGCATCCCCTGAATTGGGACAAGTATGGGATAGACAGGCAGAGGGCTGACTAGAGATTAGAGACAGGTTAGCGAAGGAGCTAAAGGTGCAAACCGAACCAAAAACTAAAGCAAGAGAGAAAAGTGACTATCAAAAAAACTGAAAATGTAAAATAAGCGACATGGAGATGCTGAAAAATGAGAAATCAAGCGGTAAACGTGAATTAACTAATTCAGGGGGGAGAAAAGACAGGAACTGACATAATGGAGGGAAAGGAAAACAAAGAAACAGAGGAGTCTATTAATAAAGACCAAAAAAACACTCACTCACACACAGACACAAATGCAAACCCCTAAAGTAACATTGAACAACAATAAAATTTAACAGCAATCCAAACATAAAACCACAAAGGTTAACTGGTCAGATAACAATAAAGAGAATCAGACTCAATAACATCACAAGAAACAAAGCTCAATATTAGAATAATAAAGAAACTAAAACAGAAATAAAATAAAAAAATCAAAAGGCAGAAAATCAAAACTCCAAACACTAGAAGAACAATAAAAGAGAAACGGAGCTACAAACAGTTTAACTAGGAATCAGGCACTCCAAAACAACACAAAACCCTAGGGCCATGACACAGGGATGTTTTTACAAACTTTACTGACTGTGTCTCTTTGTCTGAGTGCAATCTACCACTCCAGAATGCTACAGAGCAGCCTGTTAAAGTGTTGGTTTCGACTTAATTCAATGATGCCTACATGATTAAATTTTTTCATAGACGTCATGGCCCCCCCCTTTTTTTTTCTTGGAGATTGGAGCTGGCTCTACTTAGCACATAACTACTCTGGACTTGTTTTTGGAAGTGCTTGCTGCAGCACTAGAGATAAGTCTATAACAAGTGCTGACCTCAGTGGTGACTCCCTGCGCCTGGTTCTTCCTGTTAAAAGGGAGTTTTTTCTCCCCACGATTGCACAGGGCTTTCTTATAAGGGATTTAAGTTACAGGTCATGTTCTCCCTTTAGTGTTGCACAGTCTTTACCTTGTAAACTGCTACTATACAAACTGAATTAAAAAATATGTTGAATTTAATTGAATTTAGTATTTTTATAACAGCAATTATTTGTAACTTACTGTCTTATAAGAATAGAAGATGTGAAACATGTCACGTACTGTATAACAAAGTCGTCCATTCATCTGTCAACACTCAAAGGTTTGTTTCATCTCGCTGTTGTTCACAGTTCATAGAATCTTATTTGCACTTCATTGCTTCGCGCTCTATCCCCTTCCCTCATCAAAATCCTTGTTATTCTTGTGACGCTGGCAAATGTTAATTATTAGTGATTTTTGGATGAGTTGACGAAGTTGAATGTGGCGCGTCCGTGCATTGTAGAAGCCACAGTGGTGACATAAGCATTTCATTTCCGTCTTTTGTGGGTAGACACAAACAGAAGCATTACATAATCAAGTATATTATGGAGGATGATTATGTTAAAACAGTGTGTTTTCTCCTGTTGGAGTTTCATGCATATCAATGCGTTTCTGTGTGTCTTTCTGTTTTCTAGATGTTTCTGGTGGCATTGTCCTTTGCCTACTTCGCAAAGGCTCTGTCGGGGAGCTACATGAAGAGCACAATAACCCAGCTCGAGAGGCGCTTTGACATCCCTAGTTACCTAATAGGTGTCATTGACGGGAGCTTCGAGATAGGTGAGTAGGCCTGCCTGTGACTGCTGTTATTTTGTTGTTCTATTTGTAGCCTCTGTGTCATGGGCTCCCCTCGCTTCTCCCGTTCTGTCTTTGGGGCGAAAATATGAATGGGTCATCAAGATATTCAAGCTTCAGATAAAAGATTCATCAGAGTTCCCAGAAGAGGACAGAGGGGTGTGTTTGCGTGTTTGTGTGTCTGTGTGCGTAGATGATGAGTCATAATGTTGAGCAAGGACATAAGCTGAGGTCCTAGCTGTTTTTAAGCTATGGAAAGCCACATTCTAAAATTTGAAAGATGTTGTTATGCAATATTTGTTTAGTGCACTTGTTAATGGGCTACAAAAACACTGACCCTTCACACAATATAAAATCAGCTGGGATGGAACTCCAACATAAATCATATGCATTCAATTGATTTCCTAAATGCTATTTAACAAGACATGAGAGTCAGGTCACATCAGAGTACTGGCAGGGACTAGAAAGATAGCTCATATTTCTCCCAGAGCAGGATCAAAACTTTCCTTTTTGTTAAAGGATATAGATAGGGCTGGACCCTGAATCTTTCCTTAGTTACACTGTAATAGGCTTATGCTGCTGGGGGCTTCCTCCCTTTTTACTGGAAGAAACTTCTGAAAGGCTCAGGGAGGGGTAGCTATCTAACATGACTAGTCAGGGGTGAGAGGAAGACAAAGTTCAGTCACTTAAATCACATTTCTTCCGTTTGAATTTCAGCTTGACTTGTTTTACAAGCTCAGAGTTACTACTCAGAAAAGTCACAGATGTACTTTGAAACAGTATATCAGCACACAGGCTCATCATTTAGGAACTCCCAAAACAGAAGTGATCATTTACGGCGCTCTTTTTAAAGAGAAACTCAATGAATTTTACAAATCAGAATGTGTGCTGAAGAGGTCATAATACATTTATTGAGAAGTTGCAAACACCCTTTCAAGCCTCAAGAGCAAGAAATGTGTGGATGTGAAAATATGATGTTGGAAAAAAATGAGTTCTTTGTATTTTAATCATATGGTAATAATAGGATCATCTGTAATAAATTTTTCAGTCAAAATTCAGTCCGAGTAGTGTTACAGCATGCATACAATGACCACTGTATATACTGTTATCAGGTTGTTCTCCAATGGTCCACTTACCAATTTCTGGGGCAGTTATATAAGTCTAATCCATTCATCTGAAGAGCCTCTTGTAGGTTATAAATTATACATAGCTTGCAGTGCAGACTCAGTCCCAAAGAAACATGCTATATAAACAGGCTACAGAAGATAAAAGTCATTGTGTTACAGTGGGAGACAATAGTAATGAAGAATAATTAGCATTTATGATCTGCAGCATTGCGGGTCGCACATGTGTGTGAACCCTGGTAGTCTGCCGGAGGAGAAGATGGTGATGGCACCTTGGGTGGAGTCGATACGGAGTATCCTGATTCTCTCCATCTCCTGTGAAAGCTGCTGGTCTCATGTGGCCTAGGCAACAGGCTTTTTCTATAGGACTGTTGCCAGGGTAACATAGAGGCAGAGCAGGGCACTGTGAAGAGGAAAGAAAAGGGAAAAAGGACAGTGCAAGGAACAAGAGAGGACAACAGAGGGGGTGTGTGAGGGGGTCGGGGAGGAAATAAAGAATAATAAAAAAGGGAAGCAGAGAGTGATAATAATAGATGCTGATCTTCAGAGAGATCATGCCTGCAAGATGAGCTCAGGTGACTGACTATACGTACATACACATACTACGCTACATGAACCATTCTTAGTTTGTCATCTTCATGCGTTGAGCAGCCGGCAGCGCTGATATATTCCTCTATAAACTTGTTTAGCTTCAAGCTCACCTCTGTATCCCTCTGTCTCTCACTTTTAACAGGTTTTGGGAAAACAAATCTGTTACTAGATAAAACTTAGATACCCATAATCCATTGATGAATCTACGAGTATAATAAGGACTGCGCTATGAGAGGCATGTGGTTATTTTCTTTAGAAGGCACTACTGCAAAAAGTGATAAGTATTGTAGGATACTATGTAAGATGAGATTTCTTCACCACTACACCACCCCATTTAAAATGGAGTTTCCATGTCACTGATCGTGGGCTGAATGCGCTAAAAAAAGGTGGCAGCAGGGAGCCTTGTTTAATTTTTCTGTCATGTTTGCTACTGCGTGCTGTAAATTCTTCTCTCAAAGTAAGATCTCACGCCACTTGAGCAACTAGGATTTCCACATGAAAAATTAATGCATCACCTTACTCTGACTCATTTAAATGTCACGCATGCTATTATAACATCTACTGACTCTATAGTATAGGATAAATATTTTACTTTTACTGCATGGAAAATAATCGCCTCGGCCTTTTCCTTTATGATTTGTATCTGTACAAGTACAGAAAGCAAGTTAAAAAAAAGACCTTGCTAATTTTATTCTCAGCACGCAGAGCCACATATGAACCAAACACTATCAAAAAACCCATAAAAAAACAATCCCAAGCTAGTGCATGGAGGCAATGATGTGGTTTCCCCCCCATGTCTGTGCTTTCTGCTCTAAATCAATGATATTTCTTGCTCAAACTTTCCAGGCAACTTGCTGGTGATAGCTTTTGTCAGTTACTTTGGAGCCAAACTCCACAGGCCAAAGATCATTGCAGTGGGCTGTGTATTGATGTCCATCGGCACCTTCATCATAGCTCTGCCTCATTTCATCATTGGTCGGTGAGTAATCCCAACTAACAGGTCTGTTTGCTCTTTGACTTTAACCATAACCCAAATAGCAGATACTAATTATTGTATGAAAGACTCAAATAATCAATTAATGTTATTCATTTTTGTCAGGTGATGACTTGGGATAGTTTTAGTAACTGTGGAAATAAATGTCATGGTTATTTTGGAATTTTAATGATTTTTGTAACTGTTTTTTATTTCTAATAAGAAATGAGTGCACATGTTTGAATTTATTTTGCAGTTTGTCTAATCCACACAGGCTCAAAATTATAAATACGGTAATTTAAATATTTTAATAAGGGATACTGAAGGTTCTGCAGTGTTTTTTAACTTGATGAGGGCAATACCTGTTGACTTCTCGTTAGTGATGATGGTGTACTGTGACTGGCAGTTTGTTTTTTCCCAGCATAGAAAAAGGATTTTCTTGACAACAGTCATTGGACTGACTAAAACTCAAAACAATGGGAATGTCAAAGGAACTCAGTGAAGATCCAAGAGGGAGAAGGTCTCTTTGAGGCATTTCTAAAATAATTGCATATTCCAGATCATCAGGTCAAACAATTGTATGCAAGTACAAGTAATTCAGTGTGTTACCACTTTACCAAGGCCTACAAGAAGACCCAAACTGTCACCCTTATATAAGAGGAAATTGCTTATGATGTTTAGGAACAACCCAGTGACCACCAAGACTCAAACCTTCCATGAACTGGAAACTGATGGAACACCAGCATCACTGTGCACAGCGAAAAAGCTTTTTACGTCTCTGTGGACTGAGAGAGTGCTGACCACGAAGAAGCCTCGCTTCAAAATTGACACCTCCAAGTTTGACTGAAATTTGTAGCTGCTCACATGTACAAGCCAAATGACTTCTGGAGAAAAATGTTACCATCTGAAGAGACAAAGATTGAGCTTTTTGACCACTATGACACAAGGCATGCTTGGAAGAGTAAACATGAGGCTTTCAAACCTAAGAACACTATACTGGCTCTCACGCATGGTGGTGGTCACATCATTCTCTGGGAGTGTTTTGCTGCTAGTGGTGTTGATACAAACCACAACCCTATTAAAAATGTGTGGACTGTGCTTAAAAACCAGGTAAATGCCAGAAAAACAGCAAGTATAAACTTGCTAGTCAAGAAGAGTGCTCAAATATCCAGCTAGAATTATCCCAGGAGCTTGTTGACGGCTGCCACAAATATCTGGATGAGGTGCAAATGATATTTAACCAAATATTATTGGAGTGTATGAATATATTTGAGCATATATGTATACTTTTACTCTGTGTGGATTAGAGAAAATCCAAAATAAAGTTCTTGTTTTTTAAAATCATTAAATATGCTGCAAATATTTCCACCGTGGAAAAAGAACAGTTCAAAAATAATTAAAGACCCCAAATTACCATCACATCCATGCCCATGATGAGTGTGTGGAAAATCCGGAGGACAGCTGCGTATGCGCTTGCTATATTACTAGTACTTAATCTGTTATTTAGAGCATCATGGGTCAGCCTATACCAGCATGTTCATTAAGCACTTTCCTTTCTTCTTTCACAAATGCACATAGTCACATGTAACTGTACAAACGTCCCTCCCAGCACAAGTTGAAGCTATAACTAGTTGGAATGAGTATTTTTGTCTCTGTCGCTGATCTGAACTGTTTGAATTTTGTGAACAGCTATGAGTTTGAGACATCAGTGCGGTGGGTAGTGAACTCAACTCTTAACCCCTCTCCGTGTCGGCCAGACTCACTAGCAAACCTGACAGAAGACGGTACACTACCTCAAGTGCCAGCCTCAGGTTTGTGCTGACACACACACACACACAAACACACACTTGTGTAAATAAGAAATATGTCTAATTGTACTTGTCTTTTGCTCAAGGTTGTGAAGGCGAGTCCAACCTGTCCATGTGGATCTATGTGCTCCTTGGAAATGTTTTACGCGGGATTGGAGAGACACCTGTTCAGCCTCTGGGAATCTCGTATATAGATGATTTTGCCACTGAGGAGAATGCTGCACTTTATGTTGGTAAGAAAAACATCACCTAGTGGTAGAGATACATTTGCTCTTACCTATTTTGACTGACATACTGCAGATGCACAACCAGAGAGAATCCCACATTGCGATAGATTTGAAAACTGAACGATATGTAGCAGATGTTTTGGTTATTTCTGTGGGAAGAAAGTCATGGGGGAGATAATCTATGGGCTTTATCTGCAAATCACTGATGACTTTCCTGCAGCATTTTATCATAGTTCCTAAGTCAGAGGTAGCAACTATGTGCTCAGACATGTTGTGGTTCAATTCTGGTGCCAACTTTTTGGCATGGGCAACAGTCTGTGCAGGTAGAGAACATGAAACTTGTTCTAGACTGTAAACCTGCACTGCATCAAAGGTAAGTTATGTGCATTGGATGCGCTACCAGGGCTAATGCCAAAGCCAGTGTTCTATTTCTACATTTACAGAAAATGATACTCCTCTGCACCGAAATTAGGTAGGATCTTCTTTTGCCCGTGCTTCACCTTTCCACAAGTTTCAACTTGGTAGTTTTTGCATAAACTTGCTCGAGGACAGAGAGACAGACACACAAACGAGGCAGCTCCTATCATTTAGCCAATAAATGCTCAGCTACAGTTCAGATGTAATAGTTAACACAGCCTTTGTTTGAACACATTATTAGCTCAGAACAATGTGAGGGTAGCAGAAAGTTCTGATTTTCTCTAAAGGAGAAAAAAGGTGATTTAAGTGACTTTGAACTGCTGGTCTGCTGAGATTTTCCTGCACAACCAAGTGCAGAAGAGTTCAGAAGAGAATGACCAAACTGTTTTCAGGAAAGGAACAGTAACTCTGATAACCACCCATTACAGTCAAGGTATGCAATGTCACTGGGCAATTTAGCATATGAGCACCTCTGAATGCACAGTGCGTCAAACCTTGAATGAGATGGACCACACTGGTTATCACTTCTGTTTGCTGAGAACAGGAAACTGAGGCTACAGTTTGCCCAGGCTTACCAAAATTGGACAACAAAAGATTGGAAAAAAGCTGCCTGGTCTGATGAGTCTCGATTTCCAGTGCAACATGCAGAGGTTAGAGTCAGAATGTGGTGTAAACAACATGAAAGCAGGGTGGTGGTGTAATGATGAGGGGGATATTTTCTTGGCACACTATGTCTATCCTTTTATGACCACAATGTACTCATCTACTGATATCTGACTGTTTTATATGTCATGTGTCTCTTTTGGCATGACTGTCACATCCTAGGTTGTGTGCAGACCATTTCAGTGGTTGGCCCTGTGTTTGGTTATCTATTGGGCTCCCTTTGTGCCAAAATCTATGTGGACATTGGATTTGTAAAAATGGGTGAGTTTAATACTAACACATTTTTTAAATTGTTATTATGAGGCCAGACTGTCTACACAAATCGCTGCCATTAACACCATGACTCTGATTATTATCTGAGTGACTGTGGAATATTTAAAGTCCCTCGATTCATCTTTTGGTTTAATTATTGTTGCTGATATCATTAAAAAAAAAAAAAGGTGCCACAATAGCTGATACGAGTTGATAAACATGAAAGGGTGAGCCCCAGCTAACAGTCAGATGTTAAAATAAAATCATAATAATAAGCACCATCACTGTTAGGAAAAAGCTAGAGGTGGATAAAATGTTTTGTACCTATTAAAATAAATCATATTTGACTGTGGTTTAGGGTCCTAAGGCCAGATCCACAAAACTATGCTGACATGGCTGTGTGTACACAAAAAGACAGAATGTTGTCTGTTTTAATAAATTGTAATCATACATAGCCTGATATGCTTTTTCACAGTTAAACGAATATACAAATGCCCCCAGATAACCATTTGCAACTGAAACTGACTTGTGCAACTGCAGAACAGTTGGCTTTGCAGACAATTGGGGTTGTGGCTATTTATTTTACTGATTTATAATGTTTATTTTTAAATGATGAACGTGATAATATTTGTACACATATATCTACATATGAGTGAGCAGAATCTGTAGCAGAGGGATGACATTTCCTGCACTGGAAGTTTTCAGTTCTATGGACCAATACATGTTTGAGCAAACTTTGGCTGCTTTGGTTGTATCCAGGCAAACAATGCAAATAAAAAGCCCACTGTGTAAAATAGGTCATTTAACATGTACCTCAAAACAAACAAGTGATAAAAAAGGGTTTGTAAACAATGAGCAGCAAATGTCAGCAAATCTTTTGATAGTTTCTGGCCCTAGAAAAATTGCCAGTCACCCCCAGAGGCTGAGTCAGCAGACTCTTGGTTGGTTTCTTACACTGTGAGACTGATGGCTAATCAGCATTATTGCTCGATTTTAAATGTCAAAAAGATAATCGGTCTCAAATTGCAAGACTGAAAGAAACATTAGGCTAATTTTAGGACTGTGGAGAAAAAAAAAACTAAGGTTAAATTTGAATTTTGTGCTGAAATCTTAATTTAAATAATTAAAAAGCTCATTACTCATTAGCATTATAAATGAAGTCTGATTGCTGAAAAGTTGCCAATTTAAAAAAGCCATGGGATTACATTTCTTGGTTTATACTGAATCTTTTTTTTACATTTCACCTGCATGCAGCTCACTCTATAAAACTCTATTATTACCTGATCTAAAGTATCCACATTGTTACTGTACCATTTTTCGAAAAAGCAGCAATGTCTAAAGCAGCAGTGTCTAAAATTGCATTACCACTTTTTTGTGCACATGCATTGTTTATATGCTTAAACTCTGATACTGTGCACGGAGACTGAGACTTAAATACAACAGGGCCATTGTTAATGTTATTTGTAACACCTGTTGCCTGACTTCCTTTGGAGCTCAAATATCTGCTGTGAAAAAGAGTTTTTCATTCATAAAACTGAGGCCTGATGTTATCGGGAAAAAATGGCTCACATTCATTGCGTGCACAATTCTAAACAGAGCAGGTGTACAGGATTAGCATCACTTAGGTAATGAGGCCAGCTGAGGAAGAAGAGGGACAAAGCCCTCTGGTCGGCAAGAAAGACTGAGAGAAAGAGACAGAACAGAACAGAACAAAGAAAAGGGGACAGCAGGAAAAAGCTAAAAGGAAAGTAGCCTTTAACAAAAAAAGGAGAAGAAAAATATAGAGTTTCAGATCAATTAAAAACACACAAAGGAGTAAACACGTGTTCACTGGATTTTGTTATTATTATTCTTAATCTAAAAAAATAACATTAGTTTCTATAGTTTTCCTATGCTGCATAATACATGTTCATAACAAAGTAACAAAAAAAAACCCAACAAAAAATAGCTTGAGTAAAAAATATCAATCAGTACCATAAAGTACGTCATTTTCAGACTGGACACACAATCTGAGTGCTTAGAATAGATGAAAATCAGAAAACTAGTAGAATGAATAATACATGTACCTTGTTTTCAGAAAGCATTACTTAACTTTCATCTTCTTCCAAAACATAGAGACCATCACCATTACCCCATCAGATTCCCGCTGGGTGGGGGCCTGGTGGCTGGGTTACCTCATAGCTGGGGTTATCACCCTTCTTTCTGCTATCCCATTCTGGTTTCTGCCCCGCTCACTACCCGTGCCCAGGCCAGAGGTCCCAGAGAAGTGCACACCAGAGCAGACGAGTTTCATCAAAGGCTCTCCCCTTCTGAAGCACAAGTACTCAGCAGATGAACACACTAGCTTTATAGAGATGGCCAAAGGTAAGGAAGTCTATAGGTTATTGGGTGTGATGTTTTTATATATGTCATATGTGGAAAACAATGTTTCTCAGAGCACATTGTATTTGGGATTAACACTTCACAATCTTGCAGTAATAACACATTTTCTTTGTGTTAAAGTGAGTACAAGCCGCATTTTAGATGAAGAATTGCTTATACATCATATTGCCAAAAGTATTCACTCACCTGTCCAAATCACTGAATTCAGGTGTTCCAGTTATTTCCATGGCCACAAGTGTATAAAACCAACCTTGACATGCAAACTGCTTCTTAAAGTATTTGTGAAAGCATGTGTCGCTCTCAGGAGCTCAGTGAATTCCAGTGTGCTGCCGTGATAAGATGCCACCAGGGAATGACAGCAACTCACTTAGTGGCACGCCATATAAAATCACAGAATAGGGTCAGTGGATGCTGATGCATGTACTGCGCAGAGGTCACCGAATTTCAGGTCAGAGTGAATCTTTACAGACCTCCAAACTTCATGTGGCCTTCAGCTTAGATCAAGAACAGTGCATAGAGAGCTTCACGTAATCGGTTTGCATGGCCATGGTTACATAACTAAGTGCAATGCAAGTTGTTGGATTCAGTGGTCTAGAGCTTGCTGCCACTGGACTGTAGAGCAGTGGAGACACGTTCTCTGGAAGCACAAATCATGCTTCTCCACCTTACAATGGACAAGTCTGGGTTTGGTGGTTGCCAGGAGAACAGTATTTGTCCGGCTGCATTGTGGCAAGTGTAAATTTTCTTGGAGGAGGATTATGGTGTTTTTCAGGAGTTTGGCTTACCCCTTTAGTTCCAGTGAAAGGAGCTCTTAATGCTTCAGAATACCAAGACATTTTGGACAATTTCATGCTCCCAACTTTGTGGACACAGTATGGGGATCGCCCCTTCCACATGTGCATAAAGATATGCATGAGCAAGTTTGGTGTGGAAGAACTGGCCTGCACAGAGTCCTGACCTCAACTTGACAGAACGCCATTGGGATGAATTAGAGCGGAGACTGCGAGCCAAGCCTTCTCGTCCAATATCAGCGAAAATTGGTCAAAAGTTCCCATAAACACTACCTTACCTTGTGGACAGCCTTCCCAGAAGAGTTGAAGCTGTTATAACTGCAAAGGGTGGGCCAGTATCATAATAACCACATAGCATAACACACACACACCACACACACACACACACACACACACACACATACACACACACACACACACACACACAAAACACAATAATCACTTAAGTTCATATGTGTATGAAGGTAGATGAGAAAATAGTTGAGGCGATATAGTGTGCCTGATGCATCACTGCCTTTGCATATTGCTTTGTTTTTTGGCATATTACATCAATATGCCGACAATGTACACTCTGTACAATATAAAAAAAGTGGAGGCTCTTATCAAAACTTCACTTGCACAGCTTTATTATCCCTTTGAAAACTAAATGAATTTATACAGTGCAGCTCACCACTACGTCATCAAGACACTGAATCAGCTTTATGTCACGACTTAGAGAGTTATTGCTTATTTTGTGCTGATGTTAATGGCAGAGAAGGTTTGGAGACGTTAACAGTACCACGTTTGAATCCAGCGAGCTCTTTAAAAAGACTCGTTCTTTCAAAAAAGGCTCTAAATGCATCCTGCTCAGCTAGGAATTTGATTTTAAACACCTGTGGTAATGGGACAGAAAACACCTGAATTTAAAGAGGTGCGACCCAAATACTTTTAGCCATATACTGTATGTATTGCATATTTTTGTCTTCCTACCTTCACCTCCAAACAGTCGCAGCAGATGACTGACCCCCTCCCTAAACCTGGTTCTGCAGGATCTTTCTTCCTGCTTAAAGGGAGTTTTTCCTTCCTGCTGTCACCAACTGCTTGCTCATAGGGGGTCATGTGATTGCTGAGGGTTTCTCTGTATTATTGAAGGGTGCCTGCCTTACAATAAAGCACCTTGAGGTGGCTATTGTTGTGATTTGGTGTTATATAAATAAAATTGAATTAAAATGAATTTTAACTCATCTGTATTTTTGACTCCACAGACTTCATTCCAACCCTGCGAACGCTGCTGGCACACCCAGTCTATCTGGTCTACCTGTGCGTGACAATCATTCAGCTGAACTCTCTCATCGGCATGGTCACTTACAAGCCCAAATACATTGAGCAGCACTTCAGACAATCAGCTTCAAAGGCCAACTTTCTGATGGGTATGGTACATGTTTCATGAACATTGTGCCGTTATATAAATTATTAGTGTGTTACACTTGAAAATGATCACAGACAACTAGGGAAAGCTTTCCAGCTTGTTTCATATTGTATGGGAGAAAAAGGACTCGGACGTCCCTTGTTTGATCAAATGAATTCTAGCGTCAAGTATGAAAACGGCATTATAATGCAGGAATCATGTGTTTAACATGGTAATTATTACAGATTTATGGGCTTTCTGTCCATTCAGCATTACCCTCCTCCTTCTTCTCTTTTACATTTGTTGGATGAAGCAGAAATAGAACTTCAGGGAGTGGATCTTGTTAGAGAAAGGAGAGCTGGGTTAGCTATATTCTAATTCAATCCACTAACAGCCACAGCTGCAGAGACTGGAGCTTTGTGAATATGAGAACTACTTTGCACATGAAATAAAATATCTAATGAAGTTCATAGCGTAAAATGAAAATATCTAGGTTCATGTGGTCTCATCAAGGGAGATGCCTGCGCTGACCAGACTGGCTGCATATGAAAGAGAATGTAATATTAGTGACCAGAGCTAATGACATGGATATAGATAAAAGACCATGTCTCCACATTGATGTTAAATAAAGCTATAAAAAGATAAAAAGCAGGGTTCTTTTTTGATCATGGTAACTTGGAACTAGTGTAGGGTTATTTTACCTGCGGAGCTGCCTCACTTGCAAGGTAGGATAAGCAGGTGTCTGAAAAACAATAGTGAAGCTTTGATGAAAAATTTAAAATGTTACCGTCATTCATTGTTCAAATCCTCATCTAGCCTTTTAAACAGCATCTAATTAATCATGTGCTTTGCTGTTTCCTTTAATCTCAGGTGTGATAAATATCCCAGCTGTGGCACTGGGGATGTTTTCTGGAGGTCTGCTGATGAAGAGGCTGAAGCTGAACATCATGGGAGCAGCCAAGTTCGCCTTTGGCACATCCCTTATAGGTTACATCCTGTCACTTTTCTTCTTCGCAATGAGTTGTGAGAATGCCAAGGTGGCCGGGGTGACACTTTCATATGACAAGTGAGTCAGAGGCGATTATATGATGTATCGAGGTTAATGGCTACTTGTCTGGAAAATTTATTTTTCCTCCAAACTATTAAACGCAGCAGAGTTAGCCATCTAATATTTGAATGATTCCTCACTATGGTGGCTGAAAGCAACACATTATTTAAATGTTTCATATCATGCATCAGAGTTGATTGCTATGTTTTTTGGCATTTCTCAAAAAAGAAAATGTATGATAAAAGTCCATTTAATCATGAGGATGTCGATTCATATTTAAGCAGAACTGGCAACATTTCCATGGAGCTGCATATAAAGAAGCACGAGGTACCCTTTTGTTAAGCATATTTGGGAACCAGTAGGTGATTACAAGCTGAAACCAACACAAAATCATCCTCTGGGTTTGCCTAATAATGCATGTCAGTATTCAGACACAGCTGAAGTGACACTGCTGAGATGAAAAGTTAAAAGTAGCCAGAGGGGTGCAGCGTGCTAATTAGTCCATGCAGCGAATGTGCCGAAGCTCGAAAACCAATTTAAAAACCAAACACTGCATGCGGTAAATAAAATATGGAATTTCCTAATGCTCAGCAACTCGCTTATTTAGTTTCATAAATGAATGAGGATTGCTCTGGCGCCAGTCATTTTTGAAGACACTGATGATTGGAAACATGCAAGTTTGACTGTGTTTATTTGAAGCGGTAATATTTCATCTTATTACAGATTACATTGTCACCGTATAAAAAGGGGGTTGCTTGTAGTGATGAATCTAGAGAGAACTGTGGGAATTAAATCTGCAGCTTACTTAACAGTCTGAGCTCAAGATATAGTCTGAATTTTACTGTGTAAACTAGGTGGTGACGATTTAGGAAATAAACAGCAGGATATTCCTCTCAGGAGATGATGGACCAAAAAATCCACCAAAAAAACTGACCTACATTTGTCTGTAGGCCAGGAAGAGTGACTGAATATGCTGCACTTTGCTAACAAATTTGCCATATCACCTTGATAACGTATGTCTAATGTATCCCTAGAAACTCAAAATCCATATAAAATATATACAAAATTGTAAATAAGTGTATTTGTTTCTGAGTTGTACTTCTTTCTTATCATCTATCTTCCAGCATCGAAAAGATATCGTATGATAAGCACCCGCTCTTCACAGACTGCAACTCAAAGTGCGTTTGTTCATCGAGCGACTGGGACCCAGTCTGCGGCGAGAACGGCATCACATATGTTTCTCCATGTCTGGCTGGCTGCATCACCTCTGCTGGCTCAGGAAAAAACACAGTAAGTTTACAAGCGGCTCAGAAAGTAAATACTGTACAACCAGAATCGGTTGGAAATTATGAGGCAAAAAACTTTGTTAGTGTCTCGTCTGTTTTAAAACTTGGAGTAGTCTTACATCCCAACTGCGTAACCTTGGCTGGCTCAGAAAAACATGCATTTTTCTCGGAAGTGGGTTTCTACGTTTCATTTGGATTACACACTGTTTTGCCATAAAAGTCATTTGGCGTGAACTTCAAGGCATAATTCTCTCTCTTTTTTTTTAAACTAAATGTTACTGAGAAGAGATCTTCTGTCACTCATTCATGACTGTGCATTCGTTTATTCTCCATTGTGAGAATGAATACAGTTTTCATGAGAAAACGTCGTAAAACTTGCCCACAGCTGGTGGGGCGACCGTGGCTCAGGAGGTTGGGAATCGCATCTGTAACAGGAAGATCGCCGGTTCGATCCCTGGACTCTCTGTCCTGGTCGTTGTGTCCTTGGGCAAGACACTTTACCCTACTTGCCTACTGGTGTTGGCCAGAGGGGCCGATGGCGCGATATGGCAGCCTCGCTTCTGTCAGTCTGCCCCAGGGCAGCTGTGGCTACAACTGTAGCTGCCTCCACCAGTGTATGAATGTGAGAGTGAATGAATAGTGGTATTGTAAAGCGCTTTGGGTGCCTTGAAAAGCGCTATATAAATCCAATCCATTATTATTAAAGAGAAAGATACATGCTTTAATATGAGAAAATAACAAAATGAGTTGTACAATCTTCTATTCCTGTATACTTAACCAATATAAGATAAAAAATAAGAATAAGACGCTAATTTCATTGCATCAAATTGAATTGCTGGTAAAATCTCAAACGTGGGCAGCAGATCAGTGATCTGGAACCAGGCTATGTGGGTCTTTACGGCTCATGGCTGGTTTTTAAAAGGGGACTTTTTATGCTAATTCTTGCACTTTATTAAATTAACTTTACATGATTCACATTCAAGGATGTTTCTGTCTGAAATAGGCACTTTTAGCTCCTCTCCCCTTAAGGCCACTCTGACCATATTAAGGAAATCCCCTCTCTTTGACGTCATGCTTTCAGCTTTTGGTGATGACTTGCACATGCGCAGACCTTTGGCAGTGTTTAAATGATCCTCCGCCCTTGTGAAACTATATTAATTATGATAAGTCTACTTTAATTGTTATTTATTGATTAATGCAGATATCAAGAAAGGGTATTCACAGTTTTGATGACTAAGTGCTGTTTTAGGGAGCAAGCATGTGACTGAGGGCCTTTAAGGGAAGCCCACACAGCCAGTGCTTTCAAGCTGTTTTCACACATGAACCTTGGAGAGTTTCATGAGAATTAGATTTGGATATTTTCCACTGTTCCTTTTTCTAACATGTAGCACACAGCAGGAAATAGTCCACTTAGTTTAGGCCAGAGAGTTCCTTACACAGTGGAGGCAGCCTCTCTAAATCGCTGTACACAATCTTTTACATTAATTTGGTTGCTTACTTCCTGGGTATTATTTGCCTGTAAAGATATGACTGCCATGTAAAAGTAAACTATGAAGGCTCGTATATGATTGTCTTTATTTAAAGAAAGTTTGATTGACTAAAGGCTTGTGCTTTTTTGTACTGGTTTGAAGTTTTCTGTTAATCAGTAAGGGAGTTTTATTTAAACCAGCTAAATTCAAAATGAGGGAGTTTAATGCTAGATTTACTAAACTGCTTAAAACTGTCTTATGGTGTAAAAATGTTGCGACAAGTTAGTTAAGTCAAGTTAATTTATTTATTAGCACATTTTAAAACAACACAGGTTGGCCAAAGTGCTTTACAGCTAAATAGAATAAAACAGCAGGAAAATAGAGAAATATCAAGAAAAGCAAGAAACAAAAAGAAAAGAAACGTGTCAAAATTAAACACTAGTGAGTAAAGGCATGTCTTTAAGTGAGTTTTAAACATCTCAAGGGTTGCAGAGGTGCTAATTTGAAGAGGCTAACTGTTGCAAAGTTTAGGTTTGACTACAGCAAAGGCCTGGCCTGCTCTGTGTTTTAGTCAAATCAGCTGACTTTAAAGATCTATTAGGAATAGTTAAAATAGAAATAGTTCAAAGTCCAGAAAGGTAAGAGGATGCTGAAGTCCATTTAGTGACTTAAAAACAAGTAATAAAATGTTAAAATCTGTTCTACTGGAAGTCAGCATAAGGAAGCCAAAAGTCAGCATCTAAAAAACATGGACAGAGTTGTGCAGCATCCCAAATCAATAACTGAATATTGACTTGAACAGTGTCCACTTTTATGCACATAGCACTGTTATTGTCCCAGGGGTTGTATTTGAGAAATAACATGCCGTGTATCACTTTTTCCATTAAACATGACCTGTGCCAGTATGTCTGAATGGTAATTCTCACTATTTATTGTATTTTTATACAGCGACATTGTTTTTGCACCTCGTGTTTTGCAAAATCTTTCTGCACTTTTCCTATAAAAAAGACATTAAAAACTACTATCATCTTTTGATTTGTATATAAATGTAGTTTGCAATTCTATGCATACAGGCTAGTGACAAAATAAAGGAAAACCCTCTCTGAGCTTCCTCTGTCTCAGTAAGGTGTTGGGCAACAATGCTTTGACACACACACACACACACTGGTTTTTCCGTTAATTTGTCTGTAGTTGTCTGTGTCTAGCTATATGGTCATATGTGTGGAATATGCGTGTCTCTCCAGGTCTTCTCTAACTGTTCCTGTGTCGGTGTGGCTGGTAACTTTACGGCCAGTACAGGTCACTGCCCTCAAAAGGACGACTGTGACAGGATGTTCCCATACTTCCTGGCTCTCTCTGTCATCACTTCCTTTATCATCTCTCTTGGGGGGACACCAGGATACATGCTTCTTATCAGGTCAGATTAAATTTAAGACATATAATGAGAAAGGATCTTGAAATAACTACATTACCCCTGTATTCGTATTAGCATTTATATCAAGCCTCAATTTCAAACTTTTAGAACCGTCTATTTAAGGTGGTACAACAAGCATTTCTTGTACTGTTTAGTATTTTCCTTACCTTGAAATCCCCACACACCTGGGTTTGGGATAACAGTGGACAATTGGGAGGTTCACTCAAAGGACAGCCAACATTTCCTTGCCAGTATTTTGCTCGAAAGTGTGGCTTGTTGAGGCTGTGCCCCGCCTGGCATGCGGACAGACAGAGGTCGAAACAGCAAAGACAAAAAAACTTTGGTCATGATGAACATTTTTCCATTGCCGCACACAGAAACACGGAAATACTAACATCTTGAACCAATTCAGATTTAATAAAATGTTGTTATACTAATTAATCAGCATGTACACGGAGTTACATGCTGATTTTGAGCACAGACTTCCTGCAGCCATCTCTGATGCAGCACGAGTCTGTGGCCAATATAAATAAATATATAAATCAATATTTAAAAAATCTGTTTTCTAATTGATAAAGAAAAATCTGTAGATTTTGGTGATCTCTAATAATTAATATTGGTCATTATTACAGTTTTTGTTTTCTCATATGAGATATGAGATAATAAAAATAATATGTTGACAAAGCACATTCGCGAGCAAATCACATAGTGACAATGACACGCTTCTGCAAAAACAAAGCCTAAATTACAGAAAGCTAGTATTGAATTACTTTATATTGTGAACATCCATGTGGGAGTGTTTGGACTGATAGAAAAAGTCCAAAATCTATGTCATCATGCACATTTTCCAAATCTATCCGATGGACTGGATTCGAGTCTTTGCCAGGCCGCCTTATGTTTGACATCCCTGAGTTAGACTATAGATGGGGCTTGATACAATAAGCTACACAGAGATGCCCACACAGTCCATCTGAAAAGACCTAATGCTGTACCTGTTGCATGTGCATGTTTTGCATGAAGGGCATATCATATAATTTGGACTCTTTAGAACAAGCCCTGTACTGTACTACTACTACTGTAGTAGTTGAGTCAGTCCTAAATGCTTAATGTCATTTGTTGTAGTTACCATTGACTTTTACACAATTTTATACCTGCTTGTTTCACTACTGCAAACTTTGGAGCTTGTTTTCATAAAGCCTTGTATAAACTTCCTGTTATTAGCAGTGGCTGCATACTTGTTTGTGGATTTATTTGTCTGCCAAACTTATAAAAAAGGGACTTTGTCAAATGAATATTTTAAAAAAACCCAACATTTGTTCCAGTGGTTAGTTGAGAATGACGGTGAGGGCAAATCTTTGCTCTGCTAGTCACAAATGATTTCAGTGACACTGGAAAGTCTAAAACAGATACTGTTACCTTGTTGACATGTCTGATCTCAATGTGTGGAAGCACACGTATCATTGAAAACTATGATATGCTCCTTAGCACACTGGTAATTACCAGTGTCAGTAGACATCAGTTTCCACAATCACATTACTTAGAAAGTGACAGGTGAACATTTTGACTAGCTGATAATAAACTGATTTATTTGATTTATGACAATAACTCTTGAGTGTCAAGTAGACATGTAACAGTAAAATAAATGTAATAATCCAAGACTACGCTTTATAGCAGCTCCCTTGTACCTGTTATATAGTTAATCCTGCCATCTGAAGCAAAAAATGCATTTTAGGCTGTTCTGTGTTCAGTCTTTCCTGAAAGTTGTTCACATGCCTGTGGGATAGCTGTAGCATTTCCACTCCTGGATCCAATACACTGACACACAACCAGTCTTATTTGTGTACACAAAAACAGCATCAATGTTGTACAGAAACATCTCGCACATCTTCAGGATTTTACCAGAGGTATAGGTGGTATACAAACCCAAAATCATGTGTCATCAACCAGGCTTCAAATTTTCTGCCACACAGCGGCCTCTGGTGGTTAACTGTGGACTTTACAGTGACATGCTGTGACACATGCATGTGCTAATCATTTATTTTCTGCTTTGTTCTCCCTATAAATCCAACTCGGGTGTGTTTTTCAAGTAAAGAGATTTATGCTAAGGGAATTACACCCTCCTATATGCGAGCACATAAGCACACACTTAACACACAAACGTAGGACCTCTTAAAGCCATGTCAGCTGATCCTGTTGGATTCCAGTGGCCTGGCAGGAATGTAGTGACTTTGCGCTGTGCGTGAATAGTCATCTTATTATTCCTCTGTTCATTTTCAGAGATCAGAAAGACGGCTTAGTTTCCATAGGAATGGTAAAAGTTCTTCTTAACAGTTTTATCAAATGTCATATATTTTGTTGTTTAAATGGAACAGCTATGGTTTACATTTTGTATTTACATTTACACTCGCTTGAGTAACAGTGGCATTACTTCTGGTGTTACCTAATAGGCTTTTTTTTTTTTTGGTCCAGTAACAATAGAAACTGATTTAAATGATAGTAACCATGTTCTATTTATTTATTTTATTTTATTTATGCAGGTGCATCAAACCACAGCTGAAATCTTTGGCCCTGGGTTTCCACGCACTGGCAACACGGACCCTTGGTAAGACCTGTTCGGTAGTCGGGAATGTTCTGGGATTTGATCTTGGTTTAACTCTTCCTGAAAACCTTTGCTTTGTTTGTCCAAGTTTACTCATAAAATGTTTGTTCAGATTTTTCAAAATAGTGTTCGCTGTTACCTGTTGTTTCATTTTTAGGAGACGTGACTGTGAAAAGACTTTGTTTCCTTTGTCTTACAGCAGGGATCCCAGCACCCATTTACTTTGGAGCCATCATTGACACCACATGTCTAAAATGGGGTCAGAAAAGGTGTGGGGGCATAGGAGCCTGTCGAATCTACAACACCACCGCCTACAGGTTGTACTTACACATGTACTATTCAGTCGTTTGTTAATCCCTTTTTTTAATTAGTCCAAACATTCAACATAATGCAGCCTTAAGTGTGACTTTCTGTAGACCAGACCTAATCTCATTTATTTGCTGATGCTTTACTGGAAATACTTTAATTGAGTTTGAACTGAATTAGCAGTAACCTCTTGCCTACCCTACTTCTTTTTTTCTAGTTTTTCTGTGACCCCTGGAAGCTCTACGTGAGACATTATAATTCCTGTTTATAGCTTCCAAATTATGATTATTAAACATTAATAAATATTATCTAATTACCCTAGCTCAATTTTCTGGTACATCTCAACATAGGGAATCTATTGCAGCATTAATTAATAACCAACTCTTGTCTGATGTCTTGCCAAATTTTGCTAATTTTCATCATATCAATCTTTTTCGTGCCTCTCAGAATAGCATACCTGGGCCTGACTCTAAGCCTGCGGACTATCTCCTTTATTATTTGCATCCCGGGCTTCATCCTGCTCAGTCGACAGCTGAAGGAGGAGGAACGAAGCGCCATCCACGGAGCTCTGAGGAACGGTGGAACCGAACTGGAGGTGCTCAGGAAGGAAGAGTTGGTTATTTCTAATTCTGACCAGCCACACCACCCATCAGAGAACAGCACAGATAGGCAGACACGACTTTGACAGAGCCAGCAGAGCTGACGGCCGCATATATACCCACAGTATGTCCAGAGCGCCGTTGCACACATGCACGCTCGCTCACATGAAAACAAGATTTGCAGGGAATCACTTGTTGTCCAGTCATCTCATGTAAAACAGAAATTCTATATTTGTACTGCTGGATGTGTAAAGGCTTTGTAAATCTGACAGAAATTTGATATGACTGAAATATTTCTTGAATGTACATGCTGTTTTTCCTTTAAAGAAAAAAAAATACAAACACGATATTTTTGAGTTGAAGAAAATATCAGTTAGGAAATGTGACTTGTACAGACTACTGCAAAACAGTACTATTTTAAACACCAGCATTTCAAAAGCTGCCTCTTTAAGATCTTTCTTTCAAAGTTATTCCAGCTGACAGTAGTGTTACAGAACTGAAGAGGTAAAGTGGCCTTATAAACCAGAGGCACAACAGCAAACTGATATATCCTAAAAAGAAAAATCTGGCCTTTAAAGACCTGAGATATTTTTTTCTCCTTTAAATGAGTTGTAGAATTGCTCGTTTCAGTAACACTTGGAGGATATTGATATGATGTTTCGGTATGTGCCTCATTCACTCAACTGTTACCTCTTAATGTGTGTTTCAGAGATCTTTAAAAAACAATTTCATTTTACTTTTAAATTTCAGATCATCGGCTCTTTACTCGTTTAGGAAAGAACGATTGATTTTTGCTTTTTACTTAAAGCCCAAAGTTGTGAGTGTATAGCAGTTTGTTGTTTTTGTGCTTTCTGGATATGAACTTTGGGTCCGTTGATATTCATAATCACTAGAAATGGGAATTGTATTTTAGTGAAATCTGCTTCAGCAAACAGCTCTGCTTTTGTCAAACTCTAGAGCCATGACACTTACCTCTGAGTGGTGCAAATGTTTTAGTTTCACACACACAACTGACTAAAGCTGTTAATAGCTGGTATCAGATCAAATTTGCATCTTAAACTTCTCAGTTGGGCTCCCCAGGCTCTGGTTGTCGTGCCTTGGATAAGGCAGAGATTGTATTGTTGCAACACTGATAAAGTACTTACTGTAAAAAAAAAAAGGAGAAGAAGAAGAAAACACTGTGTGTGATTGTTGTTGCTGATATGTAAAAGTTCTGTTTCCATCGTCATGCGTTTCACTGGTTGGTGTTTCTACCTTTGTATTCTTTATGTGTGTCTTTATGCCAATGTCACAATTTTATCTCCCCTTTCTTCTCTTAAACATTAACCCCATTTTTGTAAAATCTGACAGTGATTTCTCAGTTGTATGAATCGAGTATGTAGCATTTTTTAAATTTTATACAACTTTTTTTTTAAAGAACTCTTTTTATCCCAGTCTGTCACTGAAATCCTGGACATTATTTTTTTAGCATTTTCTTTCATTGAGAGCAAATGATCAGATATCTGACTGCTTAAACTAGAGCTCTGTTCAGGGATCTGATGAAATTATCTGAGGGTACACTAGCTGCTCTGATGTGATGTTTTGCAATGACTGATGAAGTCGTGATCTCTGGAATGCATTCAAATTCATGCCCAAAGTATTGATATGGTTGAAAGTCGAGTACCGATTATTGAGACTCATCGCAACACTTTTCTTTAGTGCAGCAGTGTACGAGTGTACACTGCTGCCAATCTCTATGATTCAGAAAACAGTTTCCTTCGACCACCCATTTGTGTAATACCAGACGCCCTTAATATGTACATCAGCAGAAAGACTAAATTAGCCCAGTTAAAAATTCAAAACGTGGTAAAGGATTTGACAGACTTTTTAATACAGACACACTTTCCCGGAGTGTTATTTTCTTCGGACAGTTGCAACAGCAGTAAGTGGATCAGACAGTTTCAGTTCAAGCCCGTAGAGACTGTTTGATGTGAGATTATTTTCGAGTCTGTAGTTCTCTACTTTCAGCAAATGATAAAGCTTAGGGTGCATCCTACCACTGACACTAAAGTGTATTCAGAAGTATTGATAATGCAAACCCCTCCCCCTGCCCCCCAACACACACACACACACACAAATAAAATACATAAATACAAATATATATTTATACACATATGTCCCTACATGATTGTATATTTTCATGACAAAAAGCATCATCTGACCTGTTATTACAAGTGACAAAAACTTGCCTCAACATCACATGTTGTGGTATTTGTCACTTTCAACGGGAGCTGTGTGTTTTAAGTAATATGCTGGTTTCATAGTTTATAATATTTATAGATAATATTTATAGTAGCATAAACTCTATTGAAAATGAACACTATTTACCATGTAGCTTTTGTATTGCTGTTCTGCTGTGGGCTATCAGCATCTCATCGCTGATGAGAACCTGTAATCTAAATATGGCTTCTGGTTTGGTAGCTTAGGGGACCTTAACTGAAAGTATTTGCTTGATTTGTGGATGGATGAAATTTGGCAAAATTGGGTTTTAAAAACATGTTAAACTGCGTCCTTTAAAAACAACGTGTGGATTGAAGGAGGATTTCTTGCATTGCACTGCTGTTAGGAATATTCTGAAGTTTCCTGCAACTTTCCACTCAAGTGCCAAATCAGATTTAGTCAGTCCCATTTTTTTATTTTTAGATATCAGGGTGAAGTGATATTGCTCCAGTAACAGAATGTTCAGTGTGACTCAAAAAAGGCATTCAATTTAATTTTGCAGTCACCAGTTTTATTTCAAGGTCATGAATTCACGTTTTTCAAAGGAGCTGTGGACCCACAACACATGTACTATTTGGGTAAGTTGCAGCATGAGGTGACTGTGTCATCTTCAGGTTCAGTTTCAGGCTGACAAACTCAGAACGGTGTAGAGAAAGAAAGTCATTATCTCAATAATGTAAGGTCTTTGCTTGCATTAAAGAAATCAGAATGTAAATAATTTTCTTGGATTATTTTTGTAAAATTTCAAGGAATATCTTAAATGAAATATTAAAATAAAGAATTTTAATACCCAATCACATTATGGGTTTTTTGTGATTTGTTTCACTAGCTGGGAAAATGAAAAAAGAAAAAAAAATGGTTGTAGTGCAGGAGGCACACGGACCAGAAGGGAAGTGTGGTCCTGCTCCTGAAATTCAGATAAATGATTAACAGAGTTTGTGTTAAGAAGTCAAAACAAAGCGCAGGAAAAAAATAACCTTTATTAAAGAAAATTCTGCTTTCTACATCCACTGGAAAGGCACTTAAATCTGATTTTTACGTCCAAACAGCAGAGCGCAACATGAACATGTATTTATATTACCGGGAAAATGAACAATGGTAAATCACTAATAAAAAGCAAACATTTAAATATGTGGTGATGACAATCGCAGGTCCTGTTTCACAGTGACATGGATTTGTTTTGTTTGGATAATTAAAAGATACACAAAAAATATATATAACAAAACAAAGACAATCTTTTTTTGTGACATAAAATATGAATCCCAGCAAACTGTGCACCTTAACACAAAACTGAGCATGTGAAGAACATCCAGGCAAAAACCTAACTAGGACTTAAAAAAAAAAAAAAGTTTTACTTTATGTGCCAGATCTTTTTACAACTTCAAATAAAAGGAAAAAAAAAAACTAAACACAGACACAAAAACAAAAAACAAACAGATACTGGCTAAAACCTCTACCTACTGTCATCCCTTACAGCTGTACAGGTAAAAACATCTGGCACATCGGCTGAAATACCGCAAAACAAAAGTGAAGCTCATTTATCTCAGTGCAACTGTACATGCAGTCTGTATTTGCATACTAAAGTTAAGCTGCAAGTGGCTGCACAAAAACAAGAGAAAACCTTTAGCATAAAAATACTTTTGTAACCATTTACCACATTTATAGATCGACTCAACTTTCCCCATATCTTGTGCAAAGTGGCAAAAACAAATGAGACAGAAAACACTCATTTTGTTTGATATTTGATATATTAGGTGCTCTGTGATCAGTCCTGAGTCACTTACTAACTGAACTCCAATTGCTTTGCACAATTAATCTGCCCGATAGCACACCCTTGAAAAAGAAAATCCTCTTAGTCAGGCTGCACCAGGCAGAAACAGATATTACTCATTCCATTTAAGCCAGTCTCGTGCTCTAATAAAGGTTTAAGACTTTTGAAACCATTGCTGCTACCAGCCGAAAGCATGTTCCTCAGATGAGCCAGTCTTTAATTTGTAATTAAATAGTATGACACACGGTGTTACAGATGGTCAAGCATGTGGTGTAATTGTCTGTGACTGAGCTAAGTAAACACTTTAACCTTTAACTTTTCATCTAATCTTCCTTTTTATTTCCACTGTCTCGCAGATTCTGAAAGGAGAGAAAATGAAAATATCAGTTAAAATATTATACTGTATTATACAATTCCACACTCCATAAAGGTTCAAAGTGTCTGTTAGTTGTTAACCCCTTAGCAGTCCTATTAGTCCCCTAAACCATCCAATGTCCCGTGGGCGGTACGTCCGACTGCTAACAGTTTAAAGAAATGGATGAAAACCTGAAAGTGAACAGAATTTGCAGTCTTTCACTAGTGATTTGTGCTTTAAATGTTTCAACAAAACATACTCGAGGCCTAAGCTTAAACGATAAATTGATGGCTTCTTTGATCACGAAATATGGAGGAACCACACTGCTGATCTGAGGCTGCCTGCCTGATGTTAATTGTCTTGAATGTCACTTTGAATTGTTACATCTAGCTAGTGAACGACCCAGCAAATCATCACCCTGCTGTGTTCAGAGCTCAGCATTACCTGGAGCTCCTGGTGTTCTTTCAACAGCCTGTCATACTCCCTGGCGAGGCCCTCCATCTGTTTCTTCATTACATCTGCCTCTGACTGGGACTTCTTCAGACCTGGAGAGGAAAACAATGACACATGAGAACAAGGAATCCCCACCCCCCATGTCTTTGTTTACAGAAACTGACAAGTTATAAAAGCTACATTTGTTTCCAGGGAAGGTGTAGAGGACTGAAATATACACAGATATTAACCATCTCCAGATGTCTTCAGTTCTTCTTTCAGTTTCTCCACTTCCTTCCTTAGCAGGTCCATGCCCTCAGCAGTAGCCCTATCACCCCGCCCTTCCATCAGAGTCTGATAACATAAAAATACATATATTCAAATCTTCAGTCAAATATAGTTATCCCAGTACCTCCAGTGGAAAACACAAAGCATATTCCAGGCGTACAAACTGAACAGTCAAACCATTGAGCAGCCTATAAACATTAAATATGCTCTGGATGTGGATTAAAGGTTAAAGCTGAGTTGGGTAGCTTCCATTTCAATTCATCTTTATATGATTACAATCAACTGGGTACTCTGTTAATATAGCTTTAGATTATGTAAGCAACAAGCTAATATGTGCTATTAAAATCTGGACTTTGAAATTCTGTTTTATCATTCAATAACTGTGTAACTTATTCCCTGACCTATATGAGTTTCCCCACATGCAGTTCAAAGTGGGTTATTGATTACAAATAACAGATCTTTGTGCAATTACCTGTTTCAACAGTTCATTGTCCTTCATGTATTTCTCAGCAGTCTGGTTAGCATTCTCAGCCTGTGCTTGAAGAGCAGCCGTAGTCCCAGACGCTGACGCCAGCTGATTAATCAGAGTGATCAGCCGCTTCATAACGCTGCAAAAACACACGAAGGTTAGAGGAAAGCCAGGTTCAAAGTCCAGGTGTTGTATTAGAGCACAGACTCACAGCCACAGGAAGACGGCAAAACCAGAGATGTACAGATTCCTCTGGGCTCTAAAAAGCTTCATGTGCAAGTGGTCGAACATATTTGGTTGCAGCTTGGCATCGGCGCCGTGCTCTTTAGATGAATACTTTCTCACTTCACGGACAGCATCTTTAAAAACCAAAGAAAAAGAAATCCCCCATAAATCCAAAAGTAGCCTTAAAAATACAGACAGGGATGATTGTTTGCTTACCGAGGAAGAGAACAATGAGTATTATGATCATGGTGAGAAACACTTTATTCCAGAATTTTGACATCCAACTCCAGATCCTCAGATGGAAAATGCTCTGCCATCTGCACAAACATTTGAAGTCACATCACTATGGTGCACAACATAACATTTCTTACAGGATTACTACAGCTGACAGTATATTTGACGCAGAAACAAACACCACACTTTGCTGCCAGTGGTGAGACAAACCTGACACATATGCACAATGTCGTCATTATTCATTATTTAGTGTTTAGTTAGTACCTTTTTCAGCAATCCAAAGTACCACAAAGTGCACAATAAAGATGAAGAAATGAGTTCAGGCAGGGTGGAGTGGGTGTAAATGAGTTTCTGGGGTAATTTGTAACAGAAGGATGGCAGCAAAAGTGTAATGAAATGTTCAGAGAGACCTGCTATGATGTGTGAGTTCAAGATGTTGGCAGATTTTAATTTGAGAGTTATCAGAACAGACAAGCTTAGAAATGCATAGATCAGAGGGACATCTTAGGTTGAGATGGTTTGGGCATGTGCACAGGGATAGTGGATATACTGGACAAAAGATGTTGAGCTACTCAACAGGAGAAGGAAAAGAGGAAGACCACAGAAGAGATCCGTGAATGTAGTGAAGGAGGACATGCAGAGGGTTGGTTTGACAGAAGAGATAGAATGATATGGATCCACTGTGGGTACCCCGAAACTGAGCTACCATAAGAAGAAGAAAGGATCTCCTTTGTCAACAGAGACCTGAGTGCAAAACCATATTCAACTTGAGAACAGAGTGACAGTTATACTTACCTCCTGGCAGAGATAAAGGGTAAACAGAGGATGACAATGACGCCAATTTCCACATAGAGAAAGAGAGCGACAGCTGTCCACTGCAACGTCATCTTTGCTGATGGCTTCTGAAGATAAACCAACCAAAAGACCGGAAACCTAACAGAAAACAAGAAAAGGGAAAGGAATTGGTCTCACCAGCCTCCCTCAACTAACTATCAGGTACAGAGAAGGTAAGCTACCTATCGTACGTGGCCATTTCTCAGTAATAACACTACCGTTGAAAAAGACTGCAATAATCTCGAACCCAGTCTATTTACCTTAACGGAAGCTCGCAGAGGCTTGGAGTGAACTGTCAAACCGCTGTTACTGTAACCTGGTTTCACAGCATCACCGCAACAAATACGTGCAAATAGAGTGCTCGTTTATATGTTTAACGGCTAGCTACTTTCAACGATTTCACTCTTCCATCTTTAGCCAGCGTTCAGTATCAAGCTTGCATTAACACATGAGCTAACGCTAACATGCAACTAACGCAGGTGATATAGAAACATACTTTTTTTTTTTTTTAACTATTTAAGACTATTATAAGGCCTGCTATAACACGTTATGCTAGATTCCAAGTAGACATATATGAAACTTCCAAAAATACCGTAAAAGCAGTAACTGAGATACTTACTAGTTAGCTTCTGAAATCAAACAGGGCAAAGTAAGTTTGTCTTCCTGCACCAGCGAGTCCTCCTACCGCCTCTTCCGAAAAAATAGCTTCCGTTGCAGTTTTTCAAAATAAAAGCTGTGGCGCTATTGCATTTTTTAATCTAACAATATAAATGCGGTCCGTCCTATGAACAATTATTTTCCACAGTTATTGCTATTCATTTTTAAACTGTAGTGCTGTTTGAACACCCCTTTCATTTCATGATATTGAAGATTTTCGTTATAGGGAAGATTGTGACATTTACGTTGAAGGCAAATAATTAATTACTTGAAGCTGTTTTCTCCTTCATGACAAGGAAATAACGAAATAAATTTCTTACACTTCATATTGATTATCCACTCTCAGAACACTGAAATATCTTTTTCTTTTAAACCCCTGAAGCCAATAGAAATATTGCATCTCAGTAATGCTTTACATAAACATGACAAACAAAAACAAACTACGCATGTACAGAGATGCACTCTTCCCACGATTATTCTATATTCTGTTTAATAACCTACTATCGCACACTTGCGGAAAAAAGAAAGCAATAGAGACAGAAATTGCACAGCTATAGATTAAAAAATATTTATTGAGCATAAAAACAATAACAATAAAAACTAAAGTCACGCCGTTAATTTTCAATGTGGTCATGTCCTGAGATCATGTACTGATCCATATGTATTCTGGAGGTAATCTATTACAGCTGAAGTACTGGACAGAGAATTGAACACTTTTCTCTCCGGCTGCGAGCTAACCCTCTCCAGCATGTAGATAAGATGATGGTGGAAGCATGTGAATGGAGTGCCCTGTTCAACAGATATGTCCACCCAGTCCCATATACACTGCAAAGGAGTGTCCTCATAGCCAGCAAACATAGCAGGGTTAGCAAGTAACCCACGTGCAGCCATGACACCTAATAAAAAAGATAAGAAAAAAACATGAGCCAAATAGAAAGAAAACTGCCAGAGTTAGAAGTATATTTGTTACAATGTTGCTGAAAACGAACATACCATCAACACCTGTGAGCTCGTGGGTCGACTCCACATCCCGGAGATACTTTATGTCGCCGTTGGCAATGACAGGGACAGAAACACTGTCTTTAATTGTCTTTATAGCATCGTAATGGACTGGTTGGTGGCGTTCTTCTGTTGTACGACCATGGACTGTTATCCATGACACACCGGCTGATTCAGCCTTTTGACATAGATCCACTGTCTGCCTTAGGTCCTTGTGAATTCTGTGAAAGATAACAGTAACGGTATTAATATACCAATAATAAGTAGGATCATAATCATAACTAGTATTGTTTTAAATAATCTTCCTTCGGTTGCTCCCTTTAGGGTTACCAGGGCAGACCATCTTTCTCCATCTCACTCAGTTTCTAGCATCCGCTTCTGTCACACCAACCCTCTGCATATCCTCCTTCACCACATTCATGGTGCTCTTCCTCTTTTCCCCCTAACTGGCAGCTTCATATTCAACATCCTTCCACTAGCCCTTCTCTGCTCATGTCCAAACCATCTCAACTTTGCCCCTCTAACTTTTCCTCCAAACTGCTCAATCAGAGCTGGCCCTCTGAGGTACTTGTTTTTATTCCTGTCCACCCTGGTCACTCCCAATAAAAATCTGAACATCTTTAGCTCAACCAACTTCAGCTCCGGTTACTGCCTTTTTGTTAGTGCCACACTCTCCAAACCATAGCAGGTCTCACTACCATCTTGCAAATCTTCCCTTTCCCTCTTGCTGCTATCCTTCCACAAATCACCCCCTGACACTCGTCTCCACCCTGCCTGCACTCTCTTCTTCACCTCTCTTATGCACTGTCCATTGCTCTAGATGATTAACCCCAGGTATTTAAATTCATCTACCTTCACACCCTCTACATCTTGATTGTTCACCATTCCACCTGTCTCCTTCTCATTCACAAACATCTATTCTGCCTCACTTTTATTCACTTTAATTCCTCTTCTGTCCAGTGCATACCTCCACCTCTCCAGCCGCTCTTCCATTTACTCCATACTGTGCCTAAACAGTGTCGTTCACAAACATCACTGACAGGTACAGTTATAAAGTTATATATTATAAAGGGGTCATAATTCTTCAAAAAGAAACAAAGCTTAGTATGTGTGGCTTTTTTTCTTTTTTACCTTATTTTAATTGATGCTGTGTAGTTTGGATTGTCCACTTGATTTCTGACGTGTCTCACCATGTCTTTAACAAGTTCTGGCTTGTTAATGAGGCATGCACCATACCCAGCTGACATAGCCCACCTGAAAACAACACACAAAAAAGATACTGAAGCATTCTGAGTACACTGAGTTTACTAGATTTGTACCTAACTACTGGTCCCAGTAACTCTTAGTTACTTTCTGGAATAAAATGTAAATATTAAGAATCAACAAAGAAAAAGCTACTCTGTACAATCACATTGTTTAAATAATGAAAAGTGACAGCATTAGTTTAAACTATCAGTAGCTGCACCTCTGGGGGCAGCCGCAGTTGAGGTCAACTCCATCTGAGAAAGGTGCCACTGCACAGGCTGCATCAGCCAGACTCTGAGCATCATGGGCAGCAAACTGCACTATCAGTGGGCGGTCACCTGAGCAGATAAACAAAGAGCTGTAAACTATCATCATATCAACAATAGCAATACAGACAATACTGGCATTAGTAAATTTTACATTATGTCGCAGGGAAAATCTCTCTGTTTGAAGAAACTAGGTATGAAGTGCAAGAAATCAACCTAGTAGCTCATTCCAGCTCATATTACAATGTTACTCACGTTCATTAGTAGTGAATTCACTGTCTCTGGCTTTGATTGAGCGCAAGAAGTCGGCTGCAACGATCATTGGAGTGAAGCAGATATCGCAGTTGTACTTCCTAACCAAGGACCTGAAAGCAAGCCTGAAGGAAATAAATATTAGCACAGTGAGCATCATTAACTGTACACGTGTTTCACCAAAATTCATCCATAAGCAAAGAAATTTGTAAATTAGTTAAAGAAATGACAGCTTTCACTTACTTTGAGTATCGAACCATTGGGGCACAAATTTTCAGTACTTGTCCCTTTTCAAACATGTCCATGACACTCGTGTTGCCGTTAGCGGTCTTCATTCTTCACATAAGCGGCCAAACGTTAGCCACGTAGCGTAACAAGCTAACTATCTCAATATGCACGTGAAGCCTTTCGCGGTTCAAATGTACTATTGTCCGACATCTATGGTATTACTTCAAGGCTAAAAGAAGACCCCACCTCACAGTGTAAAACGCCATTCTGCTAAACAGAGATACGCAGGTATGACTACATGGACCTCAAGACGACACTCACGGAAATGTGCCCACTCAGTGGTACAGGGGAGGAAAAAATGCGGGCGTGTGTTTGGGACTTATGAACTGTTACGTCATGCAACAAGATGTATGTTTATGTATTTAATCTTTTTTTAATTTATTAGTTTTTTTTATTATGACCTCCAAACATACGCTATAGCTATTTCGGAGTGTAATGTGTATTTTTTCAAATAAATAATCATGAAAAATAAAGAAAATGTTGTTCGACGCCACGACCACACCTTTACGTCACGCAATGCGACCTTCAGGTTCTGCGGGGGAAGTTAGCTTTTCAGCTTTCAAAAGACTAAAGCGCGAGACTGAAGAGCAATGCTGGAATAGAAGCTTGCTGATTGATAGGTGAGATTTGAAAAGATGAAGATTTTTACGCTAAAGAAATAACGAAAAACACAGTCTGTGAAGATTTATGTTTTAAAAATAAAGTACCACCCAAATGCTTAGTAAACACCTTTTTCATTATGTTAGGAAAATTGAAAATAAGTGCAAATAGATTTATTGAAAAATGTACGTGCGTGGAATTACGGTATAATAAGGCAAAAGCAGAATTTGTATTGTACTAAAGAGCTTGAAAGTCAATTCTTTTGTAGGTATGCATTTATTGCACCAGAAGAGTGTTTGGCATCACTAACATGCTGAAAAATAAAGCTGTTGCCATTAAGATGCTTTCCAGAAGGTACTGCATAGTGGATGAATATATTATGGTACTTTTACATGTTCATAATTCCATCAGTTCTGACAAGATCCCAAACACAAGTGACGGAAATGTAGTTCCTTCTTGACAGTCCTCTCTCAATTGACTCAAACAGCAGATGGATAAACTGTATGGGTAGATGCAACTCTCAGGTCCTGTTTCAGGTCTTTGTTGTGTGTGTGTGTGTGTGTGTGTGTGTGTGTTGGAGTGTGTGTTGTGTGTGTGTGTGTGTGTGTAATTATATACAGTGGGGCAAAAAAGTATTTAGTCAGCCACCGATTGTGCAAGTTCCCCCACCTAAAATGATGACAGAGGTCAGTAATTTGCACCAGAGGTACACTTCAACTGTGAGAGACAGAATGTGAAAAAAAAAATCCATGAATCCACATGGTAGGATTTGTAAAGAATTTATTCGTAAATCAGGGTGGAAAATAAGTATTTGGTCAATAACAAAAATACAACTCAATACTTTGTAACATAACCTTTGTTGGCAATAACAGAGGTCAAACGTTTACTATAGGTCTTTACCAGGTTTGCACACACAGTAGCTGGTATTTTGGCCCATTCCTCCATGCAGATCTTCTCGAGAGCAGTGATGTTTTGGGGCTGTCGCGAGCAACACGACTTTCAACTCCCGCCACAGATTTTCTATGGGGTTGAGGTCTGGAGACTGGCTAGGCCACTCCAGGACTTTCAAATGCTTCTTACGGAGCCACTCCTTTGTTGCCCGGGCGGTGTGTTTTGGATCATTGTCATGTTGGAAGACCCAGCCTCGTTTCATCTTCAAAGTTCTCACTGATGGAAGGAGGTTTTGGCTCAAAATCTCACGATACATGGCCCCATTCATTCTGTCCTTAACACGGATCAGTCGTCCTGTCCCCTTGGCAGAAAAACAGCCCCATAGCATGATGTTTCCACCCCCATGCTTCACAGTAGGTATGGTGTTCTTGGGATGCAACTCAGTATTCTTCTTCCTCCAAACACGACGAGTTGAGTTTATACCAAAAAGTTCTACTTTGGTTTCATCTGACCACATGACATTCTCCCAATCCTCTGCTGTATCATCCATGTGCTCTCTGGCAAACTTCAGACGGGCCTGGACATGCACTGGCTTCAGCAGCGGAACACGTCTGGCACTGCGGGATTTGATTCCCTGCCGTTGTAGTGTGTTACTGATGGTGACCTTTGTTACTTTGGTCCCAGCTCTCTGCAGGTCATTCACCAGGTCCCCCCGTGTGGTTCTGGGATCTTTGCTCACCGTTCTCATGATCATTTTGACCCCACGGGATGAGATCTTGCGTGGAGCCCCAGATCGAGGGAGATTATCAGTGGTCTTGTATGTCTTCCATTTTCTGATGATTGCTCCCACAGTTGATTTTTTCACACCAAGCTGCTTGCCTATTGTAGATTCACTCTTCCCAGTCTGGTGCAGGTCTACAATACTTTTCCTGGTGTCCTTCGAAAGCTCTTTGGTCTTGGCCATGGCGGAGTTTGGAGTCTGACTGTTTGAGGCTGTGGACAGGTGTCTTTTATACAGATGATGAGTTCAAACAGGTGCCATTCATACAGGTAACGAGTGGGGGACAGAAAAGCTTCTTACAGAAGACGTTACAGGTCTGTGAGAGCCAGAGATTTTCCTTGTTTGAGGTGACCAAATACTTATTTTCCACCCTAATTTACGAATAAATTCTTTACAAATCCTACCATGTGAATTCATGGATTTTTTTTTCACATTCTGTCTCTCACAGTTGAAGTGTACCTCTGGTGCAAATTACTGACCTCTGTCATCATTTTAAGTGGGGGAACTTGCACAATCGGTGGCTGACTAAATACTTTTTTGCCCCACTGTATATACATATATATATATATATATATATATATATATATATAATATATATATAATTATATATATATATTTTTTTTTCCTAAGAACATTATTTTCATCTGCTAGTTTGTTTGTGTTTTAGGCAGTCTGGTTCCTTACATGCAAAATATATGGAAGAAGTTCTAAGCAGGAGTTCATGGTTCCTTTTTTGATTAAGTCAGATCCATTCTCTTCCATTTATCCTCATCAGGGTCGTAAATCCTGTCTAACAAAGGGCGAGAGGCGGGTACACCCTGTACTGGTCGCCAGTCTGTCTCTGGGTCACATGGTTTATGAATAATGAAAAGTGAAATGGTGCAGGAGGCTTCTGCAACATTCATACTCTCCTCTAATCAGGGCAGACTTGCCAAAGGTGAAAGTACTTTCTGAAGAAACTCACCTTGGGCAGCAATGCTTTAGACATATTGAACTAATGCTCAATGCTAATAAACAGAGCACAAACTTTAAACATGAAGAATTTTGATGAAAGCCAAATTACTGCACTTTGCCTCTGTGGCCACAAGAGGGCATTACAGTAACACAATTCTACAAAAAAACAAAACCAAAAAAAGTCTGACTTAAAAGGGTCAATTCACCCCACATCAAAATATATTTTAATGCTGCCGACTTAAAAAAAACAAAAACAAAAAAAATCCTGATGACTTTAGTTAGATCTTCAGATTTAACAAGGCATTGTCTGGACAATAGGTTAGACACTAACTAGCATTTGATCTGTAACCATGAAATAGTTCAAAACAGTTTACAAATGTAAATTAGAGGTCAGTCATTCCCTTTTTCTCACTCCATATAAAACATACATCTTGTTCTTTTAACAAATCTCTTTATTTTAAACTGGCACTGAATATGTGACTGATGTGGGGGGAAAAGAAGAAGAGTCAACCAATACACCAATGAAGATTTTAAAAAGAAATTACAAAAAATACTCCTCAGCACACCACACTTGTGTAGAGACTCATTTAACCATCTGATAATAAAAAAAAAGTCAGATCTAAAATATCAACAAGATAAATACTAAGTCCAAACAGGTCACAGGGAAAGTTGTAGCAGGGGAATGCAGCTTGTTACTTTGACTAGTAAGCTAGTAAAGTATACCAACATAGTATCCACTTCAGTAAACTCCACACTCGTGATTCATCTAAACTACCTGCTTGTTCAGTTTAAGCTTACACACGATTATGAATAGAGAAGTTTCCTTAATCCATCAATATTTACATCATACAATATTAAGTGCGGCCTTTAACAGTAGCTAGAGGCAAGGCTTGCAAAGAGCTTAAGTTGTTGGCTGTGCACAAAAAAAACAAAACAAAACAAAACCAGACGTTTTGTACAGTGTGGATAAGTTAGTGATATATATTTTTAGCATATATATTTAAAAAATAAAAAAAAGTGTTTACTGCTCTTCTGCTCGTTGAACATCCTCAGCAGTGTTAAAAGGTGCTCCTCTCTTTAGCTACAGCCTCATCGCTTTAAAGATAATTTTAAAGAAGCCACTCACACGCTTGACCAGCTTAATGCAACACAATTTGCTGAGAACAAATATGCATTGTCCTAATTTTGGTCCATATTGTTTCTACAGCTAATAAAAACAACGCATCATTACACCTCTGGAAACCTTTCAACCAACTACAACCTGAAGCATTCAAAAGTAACACCCATGCTAGTGGAGAGCTTCATTCATTGGCAGGGATATAAACATGTCCTGACATGGTCTGAATATTTAATCTACTCAAACCATGTCTTACCTCCTTTGTTCTCTGTAACATGTTATATAAACACACTTCATAAAATGATAGCAGGCTACACAAGTGTTAAAAAAAAAAAAAGACAAGACAGCAGGTCAGTGGCAACTAGCCTTAAGGGAGCACCAATATAGGGGCCGAGGGAATGACAGCATGTCCCCGGCCATCTCCCCCCGTGAGTCCACTCTCACTGAGGTAACTTTCTGTTGGCCACAGCATCCAGCTCTACGCTGGAGAGGAAACGCCTGGACAGCCGGTGACAGTTGTAGCTCAGCTCTGTGGTATAGATGGTGCTGGCTTTCTTGGGGTAGATGATGGTGGTGCTCTTGAACTGCTTGGGACGATGGCGAGGCTGGAACTCTAGCTGTGTCACGTAGTGGCGCCAGGTGCTGTTGGACACAGCCATAATGGTCTGCCTGCAGTGTTCGAGGCTTTGGCCCCACGGCTCCAGGCTGACATTCTGGATGAAGTGGCGGTCTGAGTCATAGTGCACTGAGGAGGTGTATCTATGGATAAGAGAGAATGCAGCGATTTTAGTCAAACAAAATACAGTAAAGCTAACTCGTGAGCCAACAGTGCCACTTTTCTCTTGTACATGCTTTTTGGGCTGTCACATCAAAGTCAACACACCTCATTTCCTTTGGTGGTAATGGATCAAGTGCTATGCCTTCCCCGAAGGACAGCGGGTGTAGCTGTGGGAAAGATCCAGCA